TCAAGCATCATTCACGTTACAACAATCATCCATTAATAAGTCCATCTAGATTTTTTTAGGTGTATTAGTCCGATTTACAGCTTCCGTTAACTTGTTCTTTTATATGTAGTTATAGAAGATTTTTTCTTTACTTGTTTGTTTTTGTTTGTTATCCATGTCTTAATAGAGTATCTCATTTTAATCATCCTTTTTAAGTTTGTTGGTTGTTTAGTGGTCAATTGGATTCTTGACTCTTCTTAATGTAGTTTAGCTCATGACTTGTTTACTAGTTTACATAGTTTTTTTGTCGCAATTCAGCTTATCCCTTAGCTAGTTCATTACTTCTCTTTCTTTTCATATTACTTTGTCTTAATGTTTCATTTAATTTTGTGTTCTTTTTATTATGTTTAGTGAATGCGTGTTTATTTCAACAAATAATTCAGGCCCAAAATTGTTAAATTTTCCTTGGAACTTTGATGAAGTAGAGGTCAGTTTATCTGAGCATGTGTGGGGTGCCTAACATCTTCCCACACCGTACCTTGGTCCCTGGACTCAAAGAATCTCATCCCCATTGGGTAACGAGTCACCAAGAAAACAAAATGTTTTTCTTAAAAAATCCTGGGTTTTTTCCTAAATTCCTAATTCCAAAAATTTATGTGGCAACTCCAAACTCCATATCCAAAAATTCCCATGGGGTTGTCGAGGGCACCTCACCCCACATTGTCGAGGTGGTACCACCGGCCATCTACCTCCATGCCACCCATATGGGACATCATGTCAGAAATGGCAAAACCTCCCATTGGGCACTCAAGGGGTGCAAAAGTGTTACATGCTGACCAAACACACATCCTCCTATTATCACTCACTAACGGAACATCCCAACCCCTTTTCGTAGTCCATTCGTTGAATGACTTGGACCAATAATGGAAAATGGTGGTTATTCCCCGTCAGCCTAGGGCTTCTCTGCCTCCTGCAAGGCTGTTAAGGGGACCTCATCCCACACCGTCGAGTTGGTACTATCGCCCATCTACCCCTATACCACCCTGTCTAGGATAATGTGTTAGAAATGGCAAAACCACCCACTAGCTGCTCCGACTGGTGTGGAGGTGTTCCATTCCAACCAAACCCACACCTTGCTATTACCACTCACCCACCAAGTATCTTGACTCCTTCCGGCCATCCACCAACCCAACAGCCTAGACCAACGGTAGTTCTACAATACCCACTTGGAAGTCTAAGTATTGCAAAACTAATAGTTCTTGTGAGGGGTATCAGACCCTTCTTCTGAACTCTTGGATGGATTTACAAATATTTCTAGTATAATAGTTAAGTTCTTTTAGTGAACAAAAACAATCTTGTAATCCATCAGACTAAAATGACTCAAGTCCACCATTCATACAAACTCCAATTACAACAAGACACCAAAAAAGTTCGCCACACCTAGGGGAACATAAATTAATCCAACAGGAAGACGAAGGGGGTGGGGGAAGTCCAAGGTTCAAAATATCGATACGCCCGATATGCCGGTAGGGATGTATCGGGCATTTTGATACCTGTTATTTTTACTTTTTTTTTTATTTTTTTCAAAACTGGTTCAAGGGAGACGGTCTAGGACCCCTCCATCCCCTAAACCGGTCAAACCCCCGATACACCCACTGTAGGGGCGTATTGGAAGGGTCCCGGAACGATACGTATCGGCCAATACGGGCCAATATGTAACGATACTTTAAACATTGGGGAAGTCTTGTAAGACAATCCTATAACTACTTAACCAACGTAATGACCAACTATTTCCAGAAGACCAATGAGAGCAAAACAATAATAAAAAGAACAAAAACAAGTCACCTAATTGTAGTCATCCCTTCAACAACTAGTTGATGGACTGATTCCATAGCACGTGTTGTCGACTCATTTTTAGCCATTGGGTTATCTAACAACTGTTCTTGCAATTGCAGCAATACATATCAATTGCAATCTACGTACCTTATAACAATACTAACAAATAATTTCATCCCACTTAAATATTACCTTAGATTTTAATCGACAATTATAAAATAACTTTTGTAGGTTATTAGGAATTGTTGAAATTCGAAAGATACATTTGCTTTTACAATAACAATACTTAATAACATACCATACTGCAAGCTATTGGGGGATTGATTTCTGCCACTCCTTTGTCTACTCGTACCTGTAAATGTTCAATAACCAACAAAGGAAATTAGAGCTCCCTTACCAAGCTCCACCAGTCAAAATGATCGGCAAGATTATTAACTCCAGGTGATGCTGATGTTCAATAACCAAAAGAGGAAATCAAAGTGCTCTTGCTCAACCAAATGAAATGGTCAACAGAGTCTAAAAACTCCAGCTAGAGGCTTCTATTGGCGATGACTGATGGAGAAGGTAGAAACAAGACCTACAAAACAAAGCTACTGCACTCCATAGTGGCTCAAACTTTTAGGACATCGAATAAATGCTTCCAGCAAGGGTGAACATAACCAATAGCTCCCTCAACACGTACAATTTCACTGAACCTGCTAAAACTTCGAATGGGGAAGACAATGCTCTAGAAGAAGAAAGCTAGAGAAGTAACACAAATGCTATTTTCCGTTTGACGGACATAAGGGCATTTCTATTTTTTGGAGAATGGAAAGTACCAACAATCACCGTCAACCATTACGAGTGCAATGAACAAAATAAAGGCGTCCATAGGGGGTGTCTAAGAATCCTTCCAACAGTTGAAACTTGGGGAAGAAGGGAGGGAAGAACTGTCTTCATTTTCTTCTTCTTTTTTTGCATTCAGGGGTATAATGGGAAAAAAACCCTTTTTTGCTGACATATCAGGCCGGGTGGAGTTAGAAATAAATATTAAATTGTTAAGTGGGGGTGACGGGGGTTTCAATTCTTTTGAATGCCATACCAAGCTATTCAACATTTTGATTTTGGAGACCGGATCTGCTCTTCACACCTGGCGCCTCACAAGTGCCTCACACACACACATCCTATCATACATTGGGAACATTTTTCGTACTTATTTGTTATTATTCACGGGAGATGTTCCTAATGCATGGTAAATATGCATGTGAGACACCCATTTGTGAGGAGCAGATCCCGTCACTCAATTTTGAGGTGAACCTGCCCATCAAAACTCCTACATCAAAAGGGTTCTATTCATAGTGGCGACCATGTGTAATCTTGGCGTACAAATGAAGAAGACTATAGAGACATTCCAAATACGGGCTTTTTAAGATGAAAATCGAGCTTTTATGGGCTTTTTAGGCACATGTCTTTTGATGGAAAGATCTTTTCTAAACCAAACCAAAAAGACCCATTTTGGGGCTTTCAAGCTTTCAACAACTCAACAGCCTACACAAAGAGACATTCCAAATACGGTCTTAGTGGAAATGTATGATGTATAAAAGACATGATAACCAGAAGAATTTTTACTAATCAAAACCCCTCTCTTTTTTTGGGTAAATTACAGATAGGTATCCTATAATTTGGGGTAGTGATGCATAGGTACTCTAAACTTTCAATTGCAACACTTGAGTACCCTGAACTCTGAAAAATAAACATTTAGGTTCATCCATTAGCATTTTGCTAGTTAAATATTACCTAATACCAAAAATACCTTTCTCATGTGTTTCTGAGATCATTCTCAGGTAATCGAACATCTCCCCATGATGACATTCTCACATGGACACCAAATAAAATATTCAAATTTTCTGATGATGGCATTCTCTGGTGATAATTTTACTCGGTAGAATGATCTAAAAAATACATGAAAAAGGTATTTTTTACATTATATAATGTTTAATTGACAGGATACTAATGGATGAACCCAAATGTCTATTTTTGAAAGTTTAGAGTATTCAAGTATTGCAATATTTAAAAATTCAATGTACCTATCTATCACTATATATTTGTAATTTACCTTTATTTTATTTTTTCTTTAAAAAACCCCCTCTTCATCGGTTACAAGCTTTTGCGCTATGTATCATGGACATTGTTTTTATCTAAAAGAAAATAAAAATACTTGCAAGTAGACCTATTCATGGATCGGGTGGCCTGACGGGCCGGCCCGGCCCGGCCTGACCCCCGGACGGGCTTGAATAGACTTTTTGGCCCGCGGGCTTAACCTCGGGCCAAAAAGCCCGGCCTGCATAAAATTCAAGCTGGGCTCGGGCTTTGCCAAAATAGCCCGGCCCGAGCCCGGCCCAACCCGACCTATAGTTAAACCTAAGTAAATCTGGCCCAACCTATAGTTAAACCTAAGTAAAAACCCTATGTGATGTCCATTTGAATAAATTTTTTGATTTGAGAAGGTTGTTGATTTACTTGTAGGAGGCTCATTGTTCATTTAAATATGGGAAAAAAACATCTGAATCAAAATAGATAATGTCTATTTGAATAGGGAAAATTTTGAATTTCTTTTATTAGGTCGGGTTTCAGGCTTCGGGCTTTTTATCAAGGCCGAGCTCGGGCCCAATTTGTAGGCCCGTTGGTCGGGCCGGGCTCGGGCTCAGGCCTAACATTTTTCTATTAATAAAGAGTCAAAGCCCAGCCCGAGCCCGGCCCGGCCCGGCTCATGAACAGGTCTACTTGCAAGTCGCAAACAAACCGAGTCCTTTAGGATTTAAACCCAATAATCAGTTTTCAACAAATCGGATATCTTCTACCCGTTCCGAGTCTTAATCGATTATAGCCCTTGTATCCATTAGTATTCAATACAATTATAACTCAGGCCCAATTTGTAGGCCCGTTGGTCGGGCCGAGCTCGGGCTCAGGCCTAACATTTTTCTATTAATAAAGAGTCAAAGCCCGGCCCGGCCCATGAACAAGACTACTTGCAAGTCGCAAACAAACCGAGTCCTTTAGGATTTAAACCCAATAATCAGTTTTCAACAAATCGGATCTGTTCGACCCGATCCGAGTCTTAATCGCTTATAGCCCTTGGATCCATTCGTATTCAATACAATTATAACTCGTTTTCTCGTTCCCAACGGACCCGGTCTTTCTCTCTCTATATAAACAAACCGCTCTCATAACACCCTCGCAACAGTAGCTAAAACCAGGAGATTAGGGTTTCGTCTGAGCTATCGTGAATCACCACCACCGACGATGATCTACGACGTCAATTCCCCTCTCTTCAGATCCTTCCTCAGCCAGAAAGGAGGGGCATCTGATAAGAGGTGCTTTTAATTTTCTCCTTTTTCGCTTTCCATTATTATTTCAGCTGCTCTCTCTGTCTTTTTCTTGTTTACTTCTTCCTTCTTTTGCCTCTCTTATGTAATGACGAGACAGTCTAGCGTTTGTTTCATTGCGAATATATCTGGGTTTTCTTTGTTCAGCATTACCCACAAGTTTATGACTAATTCTTAGGATTGTATAATCATCGCCTCAAGTATAAATGTAGGTTTTTAAGGTCCAAAAATTAATTTGCTTCTGATAAATTAGTTGGTGCTTTGTCTTGCCCATTGATTTCGAATTTTTGTATTAAGCTATCATTATTCATTCCTACCTGTATCTGTATAATCATATAAGAAACTTTTTGGATTCCAGAGCGGACCTCTTCCCCCGGTGAAGGGCTGGCGGAGTTATGGTTTGCATACGAGTTCTGATTGATTTTAGAAAGACCCACTGTGGTATGTTGTGAAAGAGAAATCAAAATCTCTGGAGCCCATCGGTTTTTCTATGACATTTATAAACTTCATCTGAGTTCCTAGATATGAAGTCAAGCAAAATGTATCCCACCATATTCCAAATCTTGTCCTAGTTTAATTAAAACTGCAGACTGCACTATAACACCTCTTGTTGGACAAACACCACTTGAATATGGTCTTATGTTACCCATAGATTTCAAGGCGCCAAAGTGAGTTTAGGCAACAAGAGGGGTGCCTTGTCACCAAGTCACCTAGGTGATGGATTTCTTTAGGGAGAATGATGGTTCAGCCCAGGGTCAGAATTTGTAGGCCTAAAGTACTGTTGGGGTAGGTGCCAGCTCGGAATTGATGCCAATTCATGGGTGGGCATTGGTGCATAGAGTGTGGGTTGTTGACATTTTGAATGTTTATAGCTCTGCAGTGGAAATCAGATATCTGCATTGGGCCTGTCCATATTTTTCTGTTTTTTTAAGTAAAAGCCACATATCCTAGGGTAGTTCCCTAGGTTCTATAACCATCTTTCGCTAATAACTATCCAGGATTTTCATAAGAAAATTATAAATTTCATGTTTAAGTCTGGAAAATCAACATATTTACAAGAAGAAAAAGAAGGAAAAAAATTCAATAACATAGGGGCTGAACCCCTATTTTTGTTATAGGAAAAGAAGAAAATAAAAGGTGGAAGAAGAAATGTGTTGATTAGACAAAATTTGAAGTTCTTCCCTTACATATTTGGTCAGATTCTGAAGTCTTTGAGGGTTCAACACAGCAGTTAGCAATGTTTGTGTTGATTAAACCCTAACAAATAAGAAAATAATAAAAAGAAATTAGTTTATAAACACAAAAAATGGATATTTTTGTTTTAATAATGTCTATTTTATAATATAATCTCAAAAAAATAACAATATCAAAGTATTTTACAGGACGGTATACAAGACTGCTTGGTGACTGGGTGAAAAGAGACTCCAAGGGTGCCTTGTCGCCTAGGCATCGCCTTGACAACTATGATGTTACCTGATTTCTAATTTTTTATATTGTGTCCTTGATTTGCTGAAACTATTATACACACATAATTTATTCCATAAATTAATGATTTAAAATTGGTCATGTATCATTAGTGGATAGTATAAAATGCTTGTTAATCTATCCTTCACAAAGGCAATGCTGCATAGACTTTAGGGGGGATGAGGTATCTGTCTTGGACAAGCCTTAGGTTTGGCAGATCATGTAATTGCATTACCTTCTGCAGTGCTGTCTTCAGAATATATGGTTAACCATTTATTCCACCAACATTATTTTTATTTTGTCTGATTGTGTCGTTGTGCATGCTCATGCTTAACAAGGGCTTGCGTTAAATTTGTTTTTTCACCTTTTCCTTTTTCCCTAATAAGAAAAGTACTATCGGTTGAAATATGAGTAGAACTGAAGTACAAGTCTAAACTATTTGCTGTCAATAAAATTAAGAATGAAGTGTTTAGAAAATTAATTATGATAGTTGATATTCATTGTGAGGTTTGAGAAGCCTCCATAGGAGGAGATGGTATAAGTATCACAAAGAACTCTCCAAGTCAATTTAAAATCGAGACTCTGACCATGGAAACTGTGTGAAGAACTGTCTTAAATTTGTTTCCTCCCATATATTCCCTGACTATCTAAGCTAAATCCTTTATCAAGGCCTCTTCTCCTCAGTTTCACTTGATCTTCTCCTCATTCCATAAAATTAAATGGACAGGGAAGGGAGTCACCAATTTGTACTGATTTTTTGGGGTATCATTCCCAGGTCTCCTATATGTTCCATAAGTATTTAAGCTATGTAAATCCCTTGAATTAGGAACTGCCCCCCCACCCACACAGCCATCAAGATCCCTTTAGGTTAACTTATTCTTTTCCCCTCATTCAGTAAAACTTAGGGTGTTTTCACAAGTTTGAACCATGTTTTGGATAGTTGTATTCAGGGATCTGTGATACAGTTCCCATTCTCGTAGTTTTCAGGAATAAAGACATTAGTGCAATCTTCAACCTATACCCTTACCTGTTTATTCCATGAGATTGTTGGAATCTTGACAGTGGGTTCACTCTTGTTTCCCTAATTGATTATCTTGCCGCAAGTGTACTGATGGATTTGCACATATACCCTCTCTGTTTTCCCACCACTCAAAGGATACACCTGCATATTCCTACTTACAAACTTCAAGCGTTTTGGCGTTGTTGGATTGCTTCTCATTGTTGGACATGATTTTCGGTATTTGCAGGAAAACAGAAGACCAAAAGCCAAAGGAGCACAAGCCAAAAGCAAGTGAGAATAAGCCTGTAATGACCGAGTGACAATTGTCTGCAATGTAGAGTTTGGTACATGTAGGAAGTGAGGATGAAGCTTTGTTAACTGCTTTTAATATGCTAGTATCTTTATTTTTTTTCATCAAGAAACCATAATTTTGAGTTAGTAACAACATTGTGTTCCATATATAGTTTGCAATGAACTATCATTTCTAGTATGCAGTTTGCCATGCCTAGCTCGTAAATTTAATATTACTGTGAACTTGTAATGAGAGCAATTCATTCATAACACACCATTTGTGCTTATTTGTGTTGCTTCTCTTTGCTGCAAATATACACGTCTTTTTTACATAAACATGTAGGAATGTAAATTTAATATTGCTGTGAACTTGTAATGAGAGCAATTCATTCATCACACACCATTTGTGCTTATTTGTATTGCTTCTCTTTGCTGCAAAATATATACGTCCTTTTTCCATTAACATAAACATGTAGGGGTGTAAACGGACTGAATTTGAATCGGATCAGGCAATATCCGAATTTGAATCCGAATAGAAAATCCGATATCCGAATTCAATTTATAAACATGGTTTGTCAAAAATGGTTTGCAAGATTTGAACCCTTGATCACCTGAATGAAAAATGACTATCATAATCGACAGACAAATATACATGTTATAGGTTGCTGGGTCAAGCCAGTGGTTGAACTGCTGGACCCGTGACTATCTGATTAGGTGGCCCATTCTGGTTTGATGAACGGTCCGAGTCTTTGCGACATTTCAAATTTTCGGTGGCTTAACTGTATAATCAATCAATCCAACCGGGTGATGGGGTTTAGATTATTAGGGGTTTTAGCCGTTCAGTCCACCTCCTAGAAATCTTAGCTCGGCCCTAGGGGTGGACTGAATCCTGGCCGTGGTTTAAAACCTTTCAAGTGAGTGGCTTTGATTGGATGGCCGTCTTTTGTGTATCAAAAGATTTGTGATCATCGTCAGATATACCATTTTTTTCGCATGAATATGATTCATGCCAGATATACAATTTTCTATAAAAATTAAAATAATACCAGTACCAGTTGGTTTTCGATGACGAATCAGCCCCTCACAAGACTGCCCCACAATGTCTCACAGCACATCTCCGCTGTGTATTGGGAGTTCAAATCAGCCCCCCACGACATCTTGCAGCACAACCCTGCCATATATTGGGAATATCTTCCGATGATAATACTAAATATGATGAGGCATCATCGGGAGATGTTTCTAATGCATGGCGGGGATGTGCAGTGGGATGTGGGAAATTATATTGGGGGCTGATTTCAATATGTATTGGGAACATTTCTCGATGATGACATCATCATTCTTGGTATTATCATCAGGAGATGTTCTCAATATACGACTGTGATGTGCTATGGGACGTGGGGGGTAGTCTTGTAGGAGTGAACTCTTGGTTTTTTGGTCATTCTATTGGAAATTTGGAATTTGTAAATACGGTATGGAATTGTTAAAGCTAGGGCCCCGTTTGATGTGTCCTTTTGTGTAGGTTGTTGGTTTTTTAGAAGTTTAACAGATTGTTTTTTGTTTTTTTGTTTGGTTGGAAAAAGATCTAATTGTCGAAAAGATGCGAGAAGCCCATTTTAGGTTATTTTCGAAAAGCTTCAAATGGAGTTTTTTCACTTTTTTTTTTTAATGTCTTGGAAAGAAGCATTCCAAACAGTCTTTCAGTTGTTAAGATCTTAATGCAAAAGTTCATATCATCTTTTAACTGTCAGGTCTGCCAGAATATCTAAAAAAAACTTGCCAAATGGCCCATTTGTTAGTGCCCAAAGGTTGCTCTACACTTGCTAGCCAGATTAATAAATAGGGTAAATTATAAAGTCCGCTGTTGTACTATGGGGTGAGTGACAAAGTCCCCCTTGTACATTTTTTTTGTAACAAAGACCCCCTTCCGTTAACATTCTGTTAGTTTAACTTTGAAAAAATTTTCATCTAACTGTTTAAAGTTTTTTAAATGTCCAAACTATCCTTTTTGTACTGTTCATTGTCTTCTCCATTGAAGTTAGGTGAAATGGCTGAAGGGATGGGAGATCCATCATATGGATGGCCGAACCATGTAGGGTGGCTGGGAAAATTTTCAAAATTTTCTTTCTCCCATCTAGGAATCTTATTCCCTGATTTAGAAAAATTGCATTTTTCAATGTTCATTCTTGAAACAAATCGGACCAAATCTGAAACCAAGAATAGGGAGAGGAATACCTGATACGGAATTCTACGCAAAAAGCCCTTCCCAATGTAGGTGCTCATGCCCAAAGAGGTTACCAAATCCTTTATCCACTGAAAATGACACAGTTTAGGGTGAGGTAAGATCAGCAAAGAGATTCTTCAGTAAGAATCAAGCAGGGATGTGAGCACAATTTCAAGATTGACTCTTCCAGCAATAATCAATATCAAGATCCAATCTTTATCACTCAAAGAATTGGAGATTGAACAGGGTAGGGTGGCAAGAGCAGAGGGAGAGAGAACTGAATGCAGAAAACTATGAAATTATGTAACATTTTTCCAGTTCACCCTCCTCATTTTATATAATCCTTAAAGAGTTAACCTCCTAATCTGATTAGGAGTTTCTTAATCCAAATCTTTATTTGAATCTGGACTCTTTAAGTGATAAGGCTTATCCCTTATCATATTTGTAGACCAGTGGATCAACTTCTCCTAATCCAATTAGAAATTTCCTAATCCAACTCTTTATTTGGATCTGGACTCTTTAAGTGGATAAGAGTTATCATCTTATCTTATCTGTTGTTCCATACCTAGATTTGCCCATTATTTAATTAATCAAATTAACCCAGTTCGAAATGGGCTTTAGGTCCATTAAGCTTTCAGGCTCACTTTCTTTAATACTAGCTATCTTGGCTCTCTTTGTATGGCATGGGACCCTATCATTGATCTCCACATAAGCCACATGGGTTCAGCCTAGCCTTTGTTACAAGACCTGGCCAAATTCACTACAGAATATAGTGAACCCCTGAGTCCATCAGTATGGGCTCTTAATGGGCCTAACATTTACACTAAATGGTCATTGGGTCCAACCATCTTATAAAGGCCCAAGGACTGTGGGCAGATGTGAGATTAGCCCATCGGGCAAAAGCCCTAAATGGTTTTACACTTAACCTCTCAGCCCATAATGATCAAACACTACCCAACAAGAGAGGACCTCTCCCTGGTTGCAAGGTACAGTGTTGCACTCTCTGCTCACATGGATCCCGGGAATTAAAACATTTTTGCAAACATTTTGTGAAACCATAATATATATGTATATCTCTATATAAATATAGTTTGCAAAATAAATCTCAACAAGTTTGATATCAACTACCGGTAGTTTAGGTTTCCATCAGAGAGACTACATTCCCCGATCATTCACTTTGTTTGACAAAGGGGTTAATCCTGTCACTATGATCACCCACTCAGGTGAATTCTCGGACTGCCCCAACATACCTAGGTTTTGACCCCCTCTAAGGATCTCATTGATTGGCATATCAAAGACAGTCCAATCCAACACCTAGTGTAGTACCATAATCAAGTTTAGGGGTGAGAGGTAACTTTCCAATTTTGCCCATCTGTCTCCAAGGTCCAGGGCATAACTAGAAAATAGTCAGGTTTAGAGTTTCTAGTAAACCCACACTACATGTGCTTCAAGTCTCACCCTAGCAGCTGAGACTAGCCACCCCAACCCACTTGGTAGCACATTAGTGTTAGCCTTGCTAGGATGAACCTCCCCAGGTCTATCCAACGACTATGAATATTCTAAACTAACATGAGTCTCATAAGTGTCCAGTTTAAGGGTATTACATAAAACCACACCATATAACATAAATCAAATATGCACTTTTATTCATTTACAATAAATGTCATAATGTACATCAAGCTGATTTGAGCTAAGGGCATACACTATCTAACAATGGCTACAATAAAAACAATGATTTTGAAACATTCAATGGAGAACATTAACGGAATAAAGGGGACCCCTTTATGACAAAGATGGGAAAAAGGATGAATTAGAAGACTTAACCAAAAGACAACATCAAGGCCATAATCATGATATGTGGAGTGAAACTCAAAAAGAAGGAAAATGATTACTAACTGACCAGACCAGATTTATATATTTTACCATTTCTCCTCACATCGGTTGAGACTCTACATTCTTCGAACCCGCTAGTCATTCATAGGGACATTAATCGTTAAACGTGCTCATCAACGGAAACGAGAATACCAGGTTGGGGGGGTTTTAGGTTGGCCTTGAGGGGACACGTTGAGGACATAAAAATCAAATGTATGCCTCCCGCTAGCACTTTGGGCTACCTTGACCATGGCTACATTTTGCCGGAGAATCTTAGTACCAAGAGCGAATGTTCCATGTGTAAAGGCTTCGGAAGAAGGTGACACGTTGAAACTTCGCATCAATCGGGTTCTCAATGCGTCAGGTCACTTTGACAGGAAATTCAGTAATCGTGTTGGCGTGATTGGTTGTTATACGTTGGTTCGGAGAGTGGAATAATTTCTATCAGAGATACCAATGATGTTATTAATAGTGTCTTCGCTGGGCTTAAGACGGGGGTGTTGTTCAAAGTTGTGTCCGGTCCAAGGTCAGTGGCAGTTGCTAGAGCTATTGAGGTAGTGGTAGTTGCATGCAACCTAAATCAACTGGTCTAGTTGATACAAGGAAAATAAGTTGTTCTAGTTATCAAGTTGCACTGGTCCAAAGGAAATCAGGTTGCAAGGGCACCAGAACTCACCCTTGTAAATCTTCTTGTACATGGCCATGATGTTTTGATCATGGAAGGGAAGATAACTAGCAATTAAAACAAACAAAATCACTCTGCAAGACCAGATATCCATTCCCTAAGTTAAATAGGTTTTAAGAGAAAAAGAGCAAGAAAAAAGAAAATAGAAAAGGTTTAGTGGGTCATTTTGGTAATTTAACGCTTTTCGTCATTTGACTTAACGACCAAGGGGGTCTTTGTCTAATGGCTAAAGTTCATGGGGGACTTTGTCACTAACCCCATAGTACAAGGGGGTCTTTGTAATTTACCCTAATAAATAAGAACCCTCCCCTGCACCTTGCAGAATTTACATCTACACCCCACTGAAGGTGCCCCACAGCATATCCCAACCATGAAGGGATGAGAGATCCATCATATGGATGGCCGAACCCTATAGGAAGGTTGGGCGAAATTTCAAAAATTTCTCTCTCCTATGTGGGAATCACATTCCCTATTTTATAAAACTGCATTTTCGATGATCAATCTTGAAA